AAATTTTATATATAAAAATTTCGAAAATTTCAAAAAAAAAAAATAGAGAATATATTTAAAATATATTATATATTTTTTGATATTAAAGAAATATTAAATTTCGAAAATTTCAAATAATTTCTAAATTTTTTATATTAAAATATAATATATTTAAAAAAAATGTATAAAAGAGATAATAAGATATTAAGATTGAGAAATTAAAATGATAGATTGAGATATTGAAATTTGAGAGAATAGAGATTAGAGAGTAAGAGAGATGGATATGGATTGATGAGTGTGATTTTTTTAGAATTTAGAAGAAAAAATGAGTATTTATAGGAAAAAATTACCCCCCTCCCCCCTCCCCATGATTTAGCCGTTTTGGCCGCCCCCCCCCCCCACTAACTATGTTTTTTTGCAGGTTACCGTTGGAGAGCAAAAAGGAGAAAAAAAATAAAAAATAAAAAATAAAAAATAAAACCGGTACCGGAACCGGCGCTGGTACCGGCGGTGCCAGGATCGATTTTGGGGCACCGGAACCGAGACCGGATGTGGTGGTACCGGTGCCGGTTCCCGGAACCGTTTCGCCGTCCCGGTTGCCGTTACGGTGCTCGGTACCGGCGGTACCGTTTCCGGTGACGGTACCGAACCGGTACCGTGTCCAGCCCTATTGGTACACTGTCACACTCACCACATTATCACATTGTAACTGCACATTATTAACGCCACACTGTCATCTGTCGTCGCAGGCCACTAGAGTATCGCTGTAGATCAGTGATTGTTGACTGATCACACTAACATATAACATTGTTATGAATTTTGCCTCACACTTCCAATGCGTATTCTTACATCACACTCTCATTATACTCCTATTTTGATCTTAAAAGACATATGACTCATACTTTGGTTTTTTCAAACTTTTTTACTCTTATCCAGGGACATTTCTTTATTTATTAATACAATTTGATTAAAAGACTAAAATAAATTATTTTGTATGCTTTAATATATTTAATGCATTGCATATTCATTGATGGTGTAAATTAACCACATGGGCAAACTACTCTAGATCGGGTTTAGGGGTGGTTTGCGTAATTTAGCGACTAAAAGAACATAGAAAATGAAGGTTGACCAGAAAGACGGTAGGTGGGAATACCTGTACCCAATTGTTATTAAATATGAGAAGAGTACAAGGAGATACTCCGTATTACACAATAGGTGTTTACAGAGATGAAATTCAGATCTCTTCTAGTGAAGGTTACAAGTGCATTTATAGTGAAGCTAGGGGACAGGGTGGATGGCACCCATGGCTGGCCACATGCTAATCACGTGACGAGGTGATGGCCTTTGTCTTGTAGCGTTCGCCCTTTGCATCTGGCTGTTATGCTTTGTGACTATCTCTCTTGGCGTGTAGTGTTTGGCCAAGGTGCTTGGATATATTTGTTGGTGCATGGGATCTGGTGTGACCAGATCATTTCCTAGATTTCTTCGAATGGATGTCTTGGTGATATGAAGATCTTTCCAGTGAGACATGCTTCTTGATAGGTAATGTCACGAGTGCCAATCCACCTGGGTGGGTTTGATACCCAACCGGTCAGATTTGTGTTCACCCCAATTTCCTTGTAACGAACTGGTTGACGTACCGCCCGATTGGTTCCGGTAGTACCAAACCCGATTCGGGTCCTGGATGGGAATACACCCATCAACGTTATTGGTACACTGTCACACTCACGACATTATCACATTGTTACTAATACTCTCTCAACACACACACACACACACACACACAGAGGGATTGACTCCAGTGAGATGACACAACACACACCACTGCCAATGGAAAGCTCACCAACTGCCAATGCAAAGCTTAACAACTGTCAATGCAAAGCTCACCACTTTTTTTAAATAAAAAAAGTTAAAAAATAGCACTACCATTCAACCACCAGTCCACCACCGCTCAACCACCGGTCCACGGTGACAGTGGGGGTCATCAGTGGTGGCCATTGGTCATGGGCGGTCAAAGTGTAAAGCTCACCAACTATCAATGCAAAGCTCACCGACTGACAATGAAAATCTCATCAAGTAACAATGCAAAGCTCACCACTTTTTTTATAAAAAAAAGCTACTCCCTCCGTCCCCAATTTGATTACAAATTGCGGTTTATGGAGTAAAATTTCATAATTTTTGAAATCATCTTATTTACAAATTGGTATATCAATAAGATATAAAATTACATATTAAAAAACTACGTCAAAAGTTCTACAAAACAAGATGTGACAAGAATATTTTATTTTATCAAATACTTAATGAAATCACGTAAACAAACAAAAGTTATCGAGAGGAGAGAGAAAAAAAATTGTAATCTATTTAGGGACGAAGGGAGTAATAAAATTGCACCCCAGTCTACGACGGTAGTGTGCAGCGGTTGGAAGTCAGCACCACCGCCATTTGTTTTTTTTTTTGAAATCATTCTAAACTTTAAAGTGTGGTGAGCTTTGTGCACATATTCGGTAAGCTTTGCAATGAGAGTTAGTGAGATTTGTTGCTAGGCTTTGTAAGCATTTAACCATCAAATTTTGAAAAAAAAGTAAAGTGTTAGAAAATCGTGGTAAGCTTTGCAGTGGACAGTAGTGAGTTTTGCAGTGATCAGTGGTGAGCTCCAGCGTCATCTAACTGAAACATGTCATCTTACCACAAGGTGTCATCTCACCGGAGTCAATCCCATACACACACACACACATATCTGTCTAACGGTGTCCCTTCCTTTAGCCCCTTCACAACTGCTCCACGATATCATATATGTTGTGATGGGGCATTGCCCCTTTGTGGGTGAAAGCCATCCAACCGTGAAGGCTGGTTTTCTCTTTTTTATTCAACCGATCAAAATAATCCACATCTTCACCCCATCACTTTTTTGTCACGCCCCCTTTTTAAGTTCCATAACATACATATTTTTATCACTCCATGTCATATTTCTTTATACTCCCTTAAGCCTCGTCAAGTCCACCATAACACATGGTCTCAAATTGCATCAAGAAAGCAAATAAGCTCATTTAGATATCCAATACACCTTACAAAAACTGACTCGTTTTACTTCAAACACCACATCTACCATTGTGTCTGTCAAATCCTGGATCCAATTAGTCTACACAAAGTCTGGACATAACATTTTACTTGCCAAAATAGGAGGATACATTACAATATTACATTAGTTCAAAATCCCATAAATACCCTTCAGAGAAACCCAAGACCTGCTGCTTACTACAGTTGCTTCCATATACTGCTAAATACCCTCTGTCTGCATCAAAAGAGAAACTCATCAAAGCTCTAAACAGCAAGACACCATACCAATTCATTATTTAGTATGAAGAACATTCTACCAGCTCCTGCAATTGTTAGAGAACCCATGGTACACTGAATGCTAGAACCAAATTTTCAAAAGCGCATAAAATAAATCGAATTCTGAACATTTTAAACAGCACAAACCATCAGGTTCTTTTTCGTTTATATATGTTGAGTTGTCGGAGTATGTGCTGGACTCCCTCTTTTAATGAGGCCTTCCTCTCTTCTTTATAGTTCCAAAGCTCAGGAACAACATACCGACCACTGCTATTACATTCGTTCAGTTCTTTCATTGAAGTCACAACGGCATCATGAACTTCATCACCATATTTCTCCTTCAAACTCTTCAACTTTTCGTCTTCCTCATGAATTACCTCCTACCCAACCAGAAAAGAATGAAAAGAGTTTAAACCAATGATAATTTTCACTAGCGGCCCATTTGGGAGGGGGGAAATGACCTCCGAGAGTCACTTCCCATTTTTTTGGTGTTTGGTTGTTTCAATAGAAAATAATTCCTAAAGTCAATGAAAATTAAACCTTTTTGGAGGATTTTGTCCTCTTTCTTTGAAAGAAGGCATTTTCCACCCTTCCCCTCATCATCACGTCGAAACTCAACATGTTTTATAATGTTATAACAAAAACTTGTTTTTTGATATTCAAACTTTCAACCGAACACCAAAAAATGAATATATTTTCGGAAACTCACTTTCCATCTTTCCATTCAAACCATAGGATTACTCATAAAAAACAACATAAATAAATAGAGCAACATTACATAAGGTATAAAACATTTACTTCATAGTTGCCGCTCTTGTCTGTTTTAATCGTGAAAGGATGCCATGCAGGGTCCGCCAGATTCTCCTCCCACTCAGTGCACAATAACGCAGCTCTGTCTTCTGCCTCATGTGAGGAAAATTCTCTTCTAGTTGCAGCAAGAAAAGGCTCAATGTCTAGTTGTCCCATTCTTTTCACCCCAATAGAAGCCCGACAAGTTGATTTTGTCAAGGCCTACGGAACAAGAAAATTACACAAATTCAGGCAATCAAAAGTTTGAAACTTCCTAAATAATGCAGACAGTATGAAAATTAAAGTAGTGCAGAGTTAAATACATTTATCAACTCCGTACGAGCTTCCTGCAACTCAACATTTGCCTCGCGGTGCTTAGTTGAAAGGATTGAGCACCGTGCATGCAAGTCATCAACCTCCATTTTCTTTTCTTCTAATTCAGCCTCAATCTCCCTTCTCTCATCGAGTTCTCTTTCTAATTCATTAACTTTATTGCGTAACTTATCAATTACGTCCTGCGAATTCTGCCCGCTCTGTCCACTAGTCTGTAAAAAAAAGACCAAACTAAACAAATGTTTCGCTAGAATTAATGGCAAGTAATTCAAATTTCCTAAGGCATAAAAAACCCCTCTTTGTAATTATATTTCATTACTGTTGGAGAAAATACGTACTGTTTTCAACTCCTTACAGGCACGCTGCAACTCATCATTAGTTTTGCTCAACTTCATGATAAGTAAACTTTGTTGTGGTTTGATGTCTTCGTGCTAATCCTCTTTCCTTTCCAAACACGATTTAATTTCATCTATCTTTTTGTCTGCTTCAAACAATAACCCATAGTTTTCCTTGGTTCTACTTTCAAGTTGCATGATTTCAGACTTTAGCGTCAGCATTTCATCAAGCTCCAACAGATAGCGTAGCTTACGTACATAATATTCATTCACAAGCAGAGACAGAATAGCGCAAACCCTCTGTTTTCCAGCCAAGCAGTGCAATTTGTCATTTGCTCTTTTCTGCTCTGAGGTTTCTTTTCTGATCTAGAAAAGAAGAAAATGGAAATTAGTAAGCAATTCTCAGTTGTTGTCTATGAATATAAGATGGGGTTTTCGTCATGTATAAGTTGTTTGAATGACTAATTTATGGGTTAGACAGAAACTATATCCCTTAAGTTTCTTTTTAAACCCAACAATCTCAATCTTGTATTGAAGTTCTAATAAATGTAACCAAAACAAAGTAGGAAGTACATTTCTCAACTCCTTACGAGCACTCTGCAATTCAAAAAGAATCATCTCAAATTGATCACGAGGATTCCCCGAAAACCTCATTTCAATATCTGCATCCAATTCTGCAATAACTTAAATAACTAGATCATCTGCCAATAAAACAATGCCCAAAACTTCCGTGTCTTTAAAAAAAGTACTCCATAGCATTTACCTTTTAACTAACCATTGTGATTATTTACACATTCAAAATGAATAAGGTAGACATGATGGATTTTAATGTTCATTCAACTTTTGAATAACTAAAATTAGTATATTAAAAGTGAATGAAGAGAGTACCGGAGCTTGGGGAGGTGTCCTTCTCATTGTCCATAGCTTTGGAAACTTATCTAAAAACGTAAGAAGCTTTTGTTAGGTTTCTCTTTTAATTTTACTCACCCCACACTTGCAAAATGTGAAAAACATAACAGATCGTGTTAGCTTTCAGCATACATGTTCAACTCTTAACAAGAAAACAAAACAATGCTTACATTTTAACCATAAAAGAGAAATTTGATCAAGATAAGCCTAAACAACAACCACAAGGACACAAATTGAAAGCCCCATCTACGACATCATTGGTCAAATATGAATATACAAACAAGTGTACAAGTGTGATACGGAAGGATTAATTAATAATTTAGGTTATTTAGTTAATAAGCTATTTAATAGTTTAATTAGATAGTTTAATTATTTATATTTACTTTTTATTATTGAGTGAAATTATAACACTCCTTCGAGGGATTCTTTTCGGTTCTTTACCTCGATGCTTTTATTGAACCGATAGGCTTAGGAATTAGTTTTTGCTAGGGCTACGGTTTACCATCTCCATCTATACATTCATTTGTAACTCCCTTTAGATTATTCATCAATGAAGAACAATAATATTATCTCTCCTAAACCCTAATCTCTCGCCCTCTCTTCTCTAGCGGTTCGGCACCTTCTCTTCTCCCTCATCTCCCTGTCTTCTCTGATCTTGTGTCTTCTCCCAATTCTTCATCTTTCTCCTCCAATTTTTCAATCTTTCTCCTATACCCGATACATCAACATATCAAAGTTGTTTTTCTAATTCACTTCTAAGAACTCCACATAATTAAATCTAGATGCAAATGCATGGCAAAAACCCAAGTAGTTATGCATCAAATCACTACAAACATGGGATAGAACAGAAAAAGATTCACAAACATAAACTCAAATTATAGAAACACACACATTTCTGGAACTGTGAATAAACTTAAAAAAAACATAAGATATATGTAATTTGTGGATATAATGAAGTACACATGCCATTATACGGAGTAATTAAATAGAAAAATCGCGCAATTTGAAAAAACGATTAGGGTTCATTCATAGCATTACCAAATGATACTCACAAATCTATAATGTACGCATGCAATTTTATCATGAATACTAACCTTTCCAACCCAATAGAAGTGTAGAAGTAGAACCCCAGGCGTTGATACAATTAGTTGGCTTATACACCACGAGTTACTTATTCACCAGTTCGTTTGGGATACTTATGGTACTCTGTTTGTCAAAACGACGGTTTCTATCCCCCTAACCCTCCCCCCTAAACCCCCCACCCCAGCCCCACCCTTGCCTCCCACCCCAGCCCCCCCTCTCGCCCCCTCCGTTTGTCATTTTAGACTTACCGTTCTTTTTTTATGGGTAAAGCTATTTGTATCCAAGTATTTGTTTTTGTACATTGTAGCGATACACTAACATTTTGTGTTGTGTAATGCTAATTTTTGTTAATGCACCAACACTTTGTATTAGTGTAAATTTTTGTTAACGCACCAATACTTTGTGTTAGTTCGAACCATCAAAATGTTGGTGGATACCTTTGGTGTACAAATGGAGTACAAATTTTGGAGTACATGTAGCATGCTCCATTCTTTATCTATTTATCAATTTGTTTAAAGAGTAAGTCTAAAAAGTGCTACAAGTGTCACTGGCTTAGACGAGTTCATTTGAAGTATCTACAATGTCTCATTTGTAAAAATGATTGGAGGGCCAGGGTCGGGGTTAGGGGGAGGGTTAAGGAGGTAGAAACCGTCATTTTACAAACCAAACACCTTAGTTACCCTAAACGAACTGGTATAAGCAATTGATGCTTAACAAATGTCATTTTAAACGTTCCGGAAAGATAAGTTTAAAATCACACCGGGTACTAGTGTCATTTCCTCACACAACCAACAATTGGGAGGACAAGGGTATGCTTTTTTATATATGGGCCGCTGAAGCTAATGGGTCAATGTTAGGCGAGTTTTTTGCTCGCTGTTTATTAATTGGGCTTTTTTGATGATACAAGTGGTAGGACTATCAATTGTTTTTTAATTGGGCTTTTCCTTCTTGAGAAAAATTGAGTAATGTTTAATTCTCGAATTGGCAATTTAGGATTGCATCCGACGCTCTAATATGATCTACTACATTTTACTATTCGCACCATGATTTCGTAATTTACCCACTAGCGATTTCGGAGCGCATGGGGCGAGGAATCATTTCTTTTATAGGTGGAAAATATGCGAGCAATTTATTTTTAATCAAATGAAAAAAAGAATAAATTTTATTTGGTGTACTCACATTTTATTAAGAATAATACTTGGTCAATCCAACTTGGGGTATACCAAGTGTACATCAAGGCACATGTAGGCACACATAGACAATTAATGTCTGTGCATGCACAGACATCAAATGTCTGTGTGTGCCTTACTTAGTGACGTTAGTGTACACTTGGTATACCTAAGTGGGATTCTCCTAGGGAAAGACCAAAGTAGGATTAAAATATTGGAAATATACTAAAATATGACTTTCATGTTTTTTTTCGAAATATGACTTAAAATGCATTTACATTACCAAAAAGTTTAGTACTGTGCACATGTACAGTGCCACATTACAATCACATTACTACAGTGCGAAGTCATATTTCTGGAAAAAAACATGAAAGTCCTATTTTGTTACTTTTCTCTATGTTTTAGTTCTATTTAGAGATTTCTAATTCCCTTAGCACTCTCCTTTTATTAAAAATGTTTACAATCTTAAAATATTTGTCTCATGATTTTTTCAACCAAATTAGATAAACATTAATTATCATTTAAATTAAAATAAAATGGCATTACATACGAATAATAAAATATTTGTTTTAAAAAATTTAAAAAATCATTTTTATAATCTACATTCAATAATTAATATACTTTTTATTTAGTTATTGATTAACTTCATAAATTTAAAAATCATTTTTATAATCTACATTGAATAATTAATATACTTTTTATTTAGTTATTGATTAACTTCTATAGAAAGTTTCGTAAAAGTAATTATTCTTATTTAATAGAGTTTATAGTAACAAATCGAAATTTGGTTTTCTTTTTTATTTTACATTTTCTATAAAAATTATTTGTTTATCTTTTTTTGTTTAGAGTTTCATATAATTTATTTTATTTAATTTTTAAGAATCTTTTTAATCGCAAACTCTTTTGAAATTATCTAACTTCAATGATTTTCTAAATGTCTAAGATTCCGGTAATTTTGAACTCTCGCCTTACAACATACTCTATACTTTATAGGATGGGATTCTCATGACATTGGATTCCAATGTCAAGGGATGACCCGGGGGTGCTCTGGTGCCCCATTCGTAAAATCGACGATTCGTACCCCCCTTACCCCCGGTAAACCCTCCTATCCCGCTCCGACCCGAACACACACCCTACCCCCGTCAATTGCACCCCACAAGTTGATTTTGACTTTTGAGTCAAAATTTGACTCAAAAGTCAAAATCAACTTGTGGGGTGCAATTGACGGGGGTAGGGTGTGTGTTCGGGTCGGAGCGGGGTAGGAGGATTTATCGGGGGTAAGGGGAGGTAGGAACCGTCAATTTTACGAACGGGGCACCGGAGCACCCCAGGGTCAGATCATCCCATGACATTGGAACCCAATGTCATGGAAACCTTAGTTTTGGGCATCGCATTGGAAGGAGCACTAAATGGAGGACTACCTCTCATTTCTCTCATCAACATCATATTTTGTGGATCCAATATCAAACTCCTTCATTACTCCCCTCCTCTCCTACATTAACACTGTGTTTGGATGGAGGGAGGTAGAGGTAGAATAAGGTAAGATTAAAATTTACCTTGTTTGGAAGAGGAAATAGAGGTAGGTAAATGGAGGTGAGGGAAGGTAAAGAAATCGAGTAACAGTGGAATATATGCGCCCGCCGATTGTGCGGTCAAGTGAGGTAAAATTTACGCCTTCCTTCCCCTGCCCTTCTCTTTACTTCTCTTCCGTTTTTTTCTTTTCTCCAGCGCAGCTCTCCCTGGCCTCCTCCCCATCCACGGTTCTTCTTCTTCTTTTTCCTTTTCATCTTCTTCTTTTCTTCTTCTTCTTTGGATCTCAAATCATCATCTGCCATGACCTATCTTCATATCCGGTAAGGTTTTTATACTTTTTTTGCCATTTACAGAATGCATTTTTTTCTCTTTTTTTCTGGTTTTTTTCTTTTTTTCCAGTTTTCTTTTTGTCATTTATTTTTTGCCATTTTTCTGTTTATATTTGATATTTGTTAAAATTGGATCTTTGAAATTGATGTAAAAGAAATTTTTCTTTGTTTGTTGAATTAGAAAGTTTGAAATTGATGCAAGAAAATTTTTTTTCTGTATTTTTTGTTCTTTGTTTAAATAAATGTTTGAAATTGATGTTAAAAAAATTTTGTATTTATTTCAATTTTTGTTGAAGTAGAATGTTTGCAATTGATGCAATTTTTATACTCTGTATTTTTTTCGATTTTGCTTTCTCCCCACTTATTCCCTTTCAACTTTTTTCACATTTTTTTGCTGATTTTTTCTCTTTTTTCCTGTTTTTTATTCATTGAAATATCATGCTGTGATAATTTTCCCTGGTTTTTTATGGGTTTTTTTTCGGTTTTGATTTTGAGTTTTTTGGGTTTTTGCTGTTTTCCTTTTTTTGTTTTATTTTTGTGATTTTTTTGTTTTTTAAGTAAAAAAACAAGGGTATATAAATAAATTTGTTATTCTACCTACCTCACATTACCTAATAAACATCTAAACACAATTTTTTAACTTGTTACCTTACGTTACCTACCTTCCATTACCTACCTAATAAAACTTTTACCTACCTCCAACCAAACATATCCTAAAAGAACTACTTAATTATTTTATTTTTAAACTTTTATGATATACAATTATTTTAATTTATGAATTGATTTTTATAAAATATATTTAATATTATTATAGTAGTAGCTTTAAAAATAATTAATACGGAGTAATTTTTTAAGTTTAGTCATTAAAATAATTAATTTACCAATTAGTAAAATAAAATTGAGGTAACTTGTCTATTTATTAAAAATAAGATCACAATAAAACAATACCAAAATTTCCATTTTCAAAATCTTCCTCAAAATTAATACACCTAATCTAAAATAAAAGCATAAAAACTACGGTGGGGTTCTAGTGCCACTGGAGTACGGTGCCACTGGCAATTTGGGGCACCTCCGATGCTCCGTTCGCAAAATTGACGGTTCCTACCCCCTCTAACCCACCCCCTAAACCCCCACCCCACCCCAACCCCGCCGTAAGCCCCCCACAAAATGTGTGGCTATTATGAACGCAATAATAGCCACACATTTTGTGGGGGCTTACGGCGGGGTTGGGGTGGGGGTGCAGGGGCGGGGGTAGGGTGGGGGGGTTTAGGGGGTGGGATAGGGGGTAAGAACCGTCAATTTTGCGAACGGAGCACCGGAGGTGCCCCAAAATGCCAGTGGCACCGTACTCCAGTGGCACTAGAACCCCACCGTAAAAACTAACACTGCAAAAGGAAAAACAATCCCAGCACTCCCAAATGGCACTTTAACATTGGCTAAGCTCCTCCAATTTTTTAGTTCTCTGCGTAGGACTTCTTCTCCTTAGTTGTCTTGTTTTCCGTGCGGTCTACTACTCCTTCAAGTCTTCAACTAGTATAAACGGATATTAATCGGATCGGATGTGTCATTACTAAATTCGTATCCGTTTATTTTTTCGGATATCAAATTCGGATACGGATCTTGACGGATACTAAAAATCAAAATCGTATCCGCATCCGTCGGATATCGGTCGGATATCGATATATCCGTATCCGTTTCCAATTTTTAAAATCAAATTATATAATACTTTAATTTTAAATTAGATTAAAGTCAAACTATTATTAAATCAACTATAATTTGTTATGGGATAATTATTTTCTTTGTTTTCATGATTTTTGATATTCTACAATAACTTCATATAATAAAAAGATATACAAACCACACATATACACATATTTTTATATATCTACACATATTTTTATTTGTCTACACATTTATTTTGTATATAAAAATGTCTTATACTTTGAAATATCAATAGTGAAACAAAATATAAACATAAAAAAATAGGAAAAACTATATATAATGGATCAGATATTCGGATAAACGATTATTTAAATGGATGCATATTCGGATCGAATTTTAAACGTATTGGATATACAATTACCAAATCCGTATCCGTTTAGTAATCGAATATCCTTAATCGGATACGGATAATATCCGTTTAAAACGGATGCAGATATTTCCTCTTTAAACGGATACGGATGCGGACCGTAATCAGATTTTCGGCTATCCGTTGACAGCCCAATACACTTGCTCGGAGATACCGCACTCCAAGACTTCAACCCGAAGGAAAATACCTTTCCTTCGTACGATCAAGGGAAACAAGCTTCCCTTAATGTGTATACAACACTAAACACTCAAGAACAAGACCCTCTTTAAGAGTAGATAATGAGTAAACTAAGTACACTCAAGAACAACTCAAACTTCACACAAATTGGCTCTAGAAAGCTATGGAAAATGATGTTGTTTGAATGCAATGATAATATGAATATTGTGAAGTGAATTGATGAGAAAAGCAGACCCAAACACCCCTTTTTATAATGCCAAAATAGGCTCCAACGGACCAATGTATTAAAGGGGTGATTGGCTTGATTTAAGGGATTGAATAAATTTGGGATCTGCAGGATATTGGATTCCCATCGATGTTTGGAACTTACTCATCGCTGGTAAGCCAATTTTCCTTCAGTTTTGAAGCCAACAGTTACCTACCCATCGATGGGTACAAGCTTCCCATCGCTGCGTGGGAGGTTGACTTCCAAACAAGGAAAGAATCAACCTTAAATGACTTCCAACGGTCATGCCTAACCAGCCATGGGTATGCCCTCCCATCGCTGGGTTCCCATCGATGGGTAAAGGTTCCCATCGCTGGGTAAGGGCATTCTGCCTTGTGAAAATGTTGGACCAAAGCTTAAACAACGATGGGTAGAACTTCCCATCGCTGTTTGGCATGGTTCTGGAAGTTGGTTTGGCTAAGGGACCGCTTTCCCATCGATGGGAAGTTCTTCCCATCGCTGGGTGGGTGGTTAGCCAAAAACCTATGGTTTTTGCCTTAACCACGGCCTAGCCAACCGATGCAAAAACCGACCGAAAAATCCAAAGTTCTCCAAAATAAAAACCGAGTGTTTAAAACACTTATTTGATGTATTTGGCTAAGAAATAAAGTGAGACATTTTAAAAACCACGTCATTTGGGTAAAAACCACGGCTAGCCAAGTTTATGCCGTTTTACGTGGTTTTTGCCAAACGACCAAAACCGAAAGGTGGTTTTTAAGATGTTTTTGTTGGAGAACTGTTTAAACATGCCAAAAAGTAAAAACCAATCATAAAATGTTGAAAACCACTTGGTTGGTTTGGACGCCAAAAACCAACACCGAAAACCGAATGCCGAACGCCGGTTTCTGAAAGCCGAATGCCAGATGGCTTGGTTTTTAGTTTGGGCGAACACCAAGTGTTTTTAATATCTTGAACAAGTTTGAAGAAAAATTTGATGATATTATAAATGCAAAAATAGATTTTAGCCTAAAGAGCCAAGGCGTGAGCTTTGGGTCGGTCTTGATCACAATTGTGACCGACTCAACAATACTAAGACTACGGTCTTCGTTCTTGGTCTTCTTTTAGCTCTTGTTCTTATCTTCGTTCTTCGCCTTGTATATTCAATGACTTGTCTCGTTCTCGGCGGTTTGGCATTATCAAAACCTGTCATAAAGACGAACACGGCTTTAGTACAAAAACGTGACAAACCCGTGTTTCAACAAGTGGAAAGAATAAAAAATTAATTTTCTTCATTTTTTTCTTTCCGTCTTCTCCATTTTCATATGTACAAGGTATTTATTAAGTCTTTTTTAAAAAATCATTAAAAATAAGTAACTTAAAAAAATAAAATATTATAAAAAATGTATTATATAGAAGATATGGTTGGAGTAAGTAGGTCTGTAAACGGATAACCGAAAATCCGATTACCGTCCGCATCCGTATCCGTTTAAAAAGGAAATATCCGCATCCGTTTTAAACAGATATTATCCGTATCCGATTAAGGATATCCGATTACTAAACGGATACGGATTTGATAATTGTATATCCGATCCGTTTAAAATCCGATTCGAATATGCATCCGTTTAAGTAACCATTTATCCGAATATCCGATCCGTTATATATAGTTTTTCCTAATTTTTTTGTGTTTATATTTCGTTTCTCTATTGATATTTCAAAGTATAAGACATTTTTATATACAAAATAAATGTGTAGACACATAAAAATATATGTAGACATATAAAAATATGTGTATATATGTGTTGTGTATATATTTTTATCATATGAAATTATCGTAGAATATCATAAATCATGAAAACAAAGAAAATAATTATCTCAAAAAAATTATAGTTGATTTAATAATAGTTTGACTTTAATCCAGTTTAAAATTAAAAGTCAAGCAAAGTAATATAGTATAAAGTGTATTTAAAATACTAAGAATTCAATAAATTAACGTAACACGAAAATCTAAAGCATATGATTTTTAATAGTTATATTTGATAAAATATAATTTGTGTAAGATGCAGATGTATTAATGTTTTTATATACGGAATATTGTATAATATAAAGAGTATCGTAAGTTAAATTACAAATTGATGTTGGTCCATCATATAAATTACATAGTATGATTATTCAAATATTCGTTTATGATTTGATAACTATTCGAATACTAATCAAATACTTATTCAAATCTTATTTTGAATTCGTCTCATATTTGGGTTCGAATTCGTATTCGAAAAAATTAAACAAATACAAATTCAAATATATCGGTATTCGCTTCGATTCGGTTCGTTTACACCCCTACCTAGGAGTAAGTATAAAAAATTGGAAATGTAAAACACTATTGATAGTGTAAAATAAAGTTTACACTACCAATTTTTACACTACACCTTGGAGATGCTCTTACTGTTCAAGGGTGCTCGATAACTTTTGTTAGTGTGTTTTTTATTAGTAATTTGATAAAATAAAATATTCTTTTCACCATTAATTATTTTGTAGAACTTTTGATGTAGTTTTTAAATATGTAAGTTTTACTTTTTATTGTATATCAATTTGTTAACAAAATCTTTAAAAAAGATGCGATAATGCACGTAAAAATGAAATAGTAAGAGTTTTGGTGAACGGAGGATGTAAAAAACATCGCACTGCCAAAGAGTACTCTCACATATAATATCCATCACAAATCATTATTCATATTTAACTTAAAGATCTATGTACTTTGCAATACCATTAGAATATTAGAGGGCAAATAGCGCCGGTACTCCTCGTGGTTTGCAAAACAGGCACCAATACCCCTTTGTTTTCAAAACTTATTTTTAAAGTTCTTGTGGTTTCAAAATGCTGCACCCGTGCCCCTTCTGATTATTTTCTGGCCATTTTTCCCTCAAAGTAGGGGGCATTGGTGCATATTTTTTTAAACCATAGGGGGTGGTAGCGTTCGTGGTGGTGCTTCAGGATTCCAATGTACTGCGCCCAAGATCAGAACGAGCTTGCCGGCGGACCACTTCCGTCCCATTCTTGAGTGAGCTGGAGCGCAGCCATCTTATCCACTGAATGAGTTGAACGTAGTTAGATTTTTTTAAACGAATCGTTACACTCATTTCGTACCTATTCTTTTTTCTTTTCTTTTTCTAAGTTCAAGTGAAACGAATAGCTCTTCTATAGAACCGGAAGCGAAACGCTATGCCGGGGCGGGGGGACGGGAAAAGAAACGGCTCCGAAGAAATCAATTGGGGTTCCCAATGCTTCTCCACGCTTAACGAGATGCGCCAACCTCGGGATGCTTTACTCCTAACCCCACAAGGTTCCGAGACGGAGCTTAACCTGAGTCTCGGTTAAGAACGGCGATGATCTACGTTTCACACGGCGCACGATTCCATGGATAGTTTCATTCGAGATCGTGATGGAGGACACAGCTTACGATCATCGGATTTGATCATGCCACTAGGCATTTTATTAAGACATTGCACAATGATCCGAACACTTTGTCGCATCTCTTCGATACGAATACAGTAACGATCATAGCGATCTCCTCTGGTACCTACTGGTACGTCAGGATCCAATTGGTCATGAACATCGTAAGGTGCTGCTTTTCGCAAATCCCAATTTAGTAAAGGTTTTTTTAAAACTATTTTTATAATGTTCTTGAAATTTAATTTTTTTTGAAAAAAATTAACATATAATGCATATGTACGTTTCAAATTAACAATTTTTGTTTTGTCTGGAAAAAAAGTAATTTTTTTGAGAACTTCAAAAATATGAGGAATAAAATAAGAAAAAAATATTACAAAAAAAATCGAATATCCTTTTTGGACATCTCAAATCTAAAGACTTTTTTAGGCGTGTCCGATTTTTTTTGTATAAGACTTTTTTTGCGTATTTTAATTTTTTTCATTTCGTTTTTCCATATATTTATTTTTTTATTCAGGATTTTTTTAGCTTTTTGAAAAGTTATTGTAAATAACAAAAGTGAAAATGTTTAATTTGATATGGATGTAATATATGCTAATTTTTTTATTTTTATTTTAATTTCAAAGACAAAGAATTTAAAATTTTTAAAACATTATAAAAATGGGGAAAAAATATTTTTAAAAAAATTCTAGGAAAAGGAAAAAGAGACAGAAAATATTTAAAAAAAGGTAAACACAAATAATAAACAAAAATAAGAAATGAGCACGAATGCCCCGTATGGTTTAGAAATTATGCGCCAATGCCCCCTCTTTGCCGAAAAATGATCAAAAGGAGTGTGGGTGCAACGTTTTGAAATAACGGGGACTTTAGATATAAGTTCAATTTACTTTATCTCAGTGACCGACCGACCGGGTCTGAGAAGACCCTCGGGAATGAGGCTTACCCTTTTTTTATTTAGAGCCTGTTCTTTAGGACTGGAAAAAAAGAGCTGGAAGCTGGAAGAAACTGGAAGAAACGGGAAGAAACTGAAAGGAAGTGGAAAGAACTGGAAGGAAGTGGAAAGAACTAGAAGGAAGTGGAAAGAACTGGAAAAATCAAAAAAAAGTTTTACAAATTTTTTATGTGTGGTTTTATATTATTCTCATTCTGATTTTTTTGTTATAAATTATTATTATTATTATTATTATTATTATTATTATTATTATTTTTGTTGTTGTTGTTGTTGTTGTGGTTGTTGGTGGTGGTGGTGTCATCACGTTATCTTAATGATTGCCTTTAAGATAAAAAAAACATATTATTATTTTTCATATATATGTAAAAAGCTAGTTTAAAAAAATTAATTAGAATATAAAATTAGCATAAATATGAAAATTTTAAATAATTAAGAGTTACTATGGCTATGTTGCATTTATTATAAAATAATATATTTGTAATATATTTTATATATTACAAGATAGGCCCAAAGTGATGTTGTTTGATGAACTAGAACTTAATATTCTACAATGTAGTTAAGCTTAATTGAAGATATTAAATACGAATTATAGTTTTTACAATATGATTTTGTTGAAAATGATTGGATTATTTATATTTATATGCACACTATTTTACATATTAGAGACAATAAAAAGTATATCAAATAAATGAAAGTATAACATTTTTGTTACTTGTTTTTTAATTATTGGTGATGTTAGTTGTTGAATTTCTATTTTACACTTATTGGGTCATTTTTTCTTTTTTCAAAATGTAGTTTCTCTTGGTTTTCATAATGTAGTACTCCCCACCACATTCCATATTTTATATTTTAGATCAAAATATTGACGTTTACCTTATATAAATTTAGATTAAAAAAATATTGTACATAACTATTTTATCCATAATTTTTTAAATAGTTTCCTAATTTTTTATGTAGATTAATATACAAAAAAATAGTATTATTCATATTAAAAATTTGAAGAAAAAATAATAATGAAGGTGTATCTTAAAAATAGTGAGATGAAAAAATGAAATATTTTATAAATTATAGTTATGAACATAATAGTTGTAATAATAATAATATATTTTTTTAAAGTGATTTGTCAGAAAGTAACTCGAAAGAAACTGGAAAGAATTAGAAGAAACTGGAAAGAACTGGAAGAAACTGGAAGAACTGGAAGAAACTGGAAGGAACTTGAAGAAAATGGAAGGAACTGGAAGTTAAAAGTTCAAGCTCTAAAGAACATTCTCTTATAGTGGGTTGTTAAGTTAGGGAGATGCTAGGGGTACACCAAAATGGGGTATCTTATTTGTACACCAGGCAAACACAGACAAACACAAATACTTAGTGTGTGTAAAAAGTGTCTCTGTTTGTTTGTGTTTGCGTGGTATTTAAATGAGATACCCCATTTTGGTGTACTCCTAAGTTTATTGTTAAGTTATTCTCAGAAAAAATTCCGAGACAGATTTTTTGGACTGAATTCGGCAAAGGGAAAAACGCAGTCGCTGACTTCCTTTGAAATTTCCTTTTTTTTTTAAATTTGCTCAAAGGAAGTCGCCGACTTCCTTTGAATTTACTTTTTCTTGACTAGTTCCCTTCCTAATCTTTTACTCTTTATATTTTTTTATTTTAAATTAATTTTTACCTTTCAAAATAAAAACTTAATTTATATTAATTTCTTTTAGCATTGATTTAATTCAAAAATAATTAAAATAAGAACTCATATGATGATATAATTAATTTGACATATAAAAAAATCAAAACAACAAAATTACATTCATAATATAAATAAGATTTGTTCAACAAACGTCAACAGAAATTAAAAAGATAATCTAAAAGAACAAATGATTTTTAATGACTTGCAACTCTCTCCATCTCTCCCAAGAAATGTGAGAATTCAGTTTTGATGCCTTGCAACTCTGTCCATCTCTCCCAAGAATCGATTTCGCTGTCGACGACCAGACCGAGAAATTTCTTCAGCGGGCCTAACTGAAGGTAGAATACGTAAATTCCCGTAAACTGATTGTTACAGGAAAAGCACAGGGTTGATGTGTACATTGTAACATCTCATATATTGTTCAACTGAATACATTGAAGAGATTTCGTCGTCAGCCAACCGTCGAAAAGAATGATACAGTCCGTGAACATGCACACATGGAATACCATCGCTGCTCCACTGTCCGCAAGTACATGTTTTTCTTCCCAAATCCACTAAAAAGCTATAGATGTTACCTGGATTAGACCTCGATGTTCTGCTTACCACATATTCTTGCCCCCCGTAATGCACAGCTTGAAAAAGTTGTTTATCTTTCTCGCGCTTCTGAAAAATCTTTGTGATTTTAGGAGTAAATAAACAATTTTTCCTCTGCCACACAAAACATGCTTTACGTCGTGTCTCGAACTGATCAATGAGTTTATTATACGACATTGTGACAATAGCAGTTACAGGTAGCATCCGACAACCTTTCAACATGTTATTGAAGCTCTCTGAACTGTTGGTAGTAAGTATCCCACATCGATGACCGCCATCATGACTAAGCGTCCAAAACTCAGGTCGAATTTTTGCAAGCCAAGCATATGCGGTCTCATTTATACTTTTGATTTCTTCCATGTGTTTTTGAAAATCCTGGATGCTAGGAGTGCCAAATTGTACGGAGTCCATACGACCTATAAGAAATACAAAAATAATTTATAATTTTAAAAATGTTAATTAAAAAATCTAAATTTAAAAATGTATATTTTTAAAAATATACATGACGAAATGAAGCACTGTCATACAAGGCTAGTTCCCCCTTAAGTATATATTAAATTTAAAAATATATTAAATTTGAATTTTAGTAACATGCGTAGTAATATTTATAAAAATAAATACAACATTTCACATACCGTGTGCCATATGGCTCGTCTCCCTCATTACGGAGTGGTCCATGAACATCGCGTCAAAGATTGCGCGTTTCAGGGCATATTGTTATTATCCGTGTCCAAGCCCAAAGTTGCAGAAGCAAAGCACATCCTCCCATTTTTGGAGTATCAGTTCTCCGTAACACTGCTTTGCACATATTATGATACAAGTTTGCCAAGACAGCAGAGCCCCAACTGAATCGATGAATGTCATCCAAATTTGCCAAGTATGGCAAGAACTCAACACTCACATATGTGTTTGACGTAGTAGGAAATAACAAACCTCCAATCAACTGTAAAATAATCCCTGTAGTATACTAAACTGCTTCCTCATCAGTGCTATCCTCAGACAATGGGTCTCGACCTTCTAGTCTACGCAAGTTAAACCCCAATGACCCAAAATCAGTGTCATCCACCGGAAAGTCAAGAACCCTCAAAAATAACTGTGAATAGGTTTCCCGCGGAACATTTTGCGTAAAAACAAGTGAAATTTGCACTAAATAGGACTAAAACATAATGACTTTCCTAATGTAGGACTTAAACTTTTTTATTCTCTAAGTAGGACTTAATAATGACCTTATGAGAGAAATAATGTCCAGTAATGATGAACATTTACTTGAATAATGACTACTTGATAATGACCAAAAGTCCTACATTGAGAAATAAAAACATATGGTCCTATATTGGGAAAGTCATTATATTTTAGTCCTATTTAGGTAAATTACTCTAAAAACAATGGGTTCACCATCCACAGGTAATCCAAGAAGACACTCCACATCTTGTAAGGTAATCCCTAATTCGCCAAAAGGGAACTGAAAGGCATGAACCTCCGGTCTCCACCGTTCCAATAGGGCCGTGATTAAACTGTGATCCAATTTAATGGGTTGAACATGATGCACCCCATAAAAACCAGCAGTTCTAAGATTTGTCTCTATCTGATCATCTTCATAAGAGCTTTCAACGCCGGCGTCATACCGGCAACAAAAAACTTTTGCATCAAGAAAATCTTCCTCTTCCTAAATGTGTCTTGAACGATGTTTCTATTGAAGCGTTAACACATCATCGTTTCGAGGACCGGCAATATCACGTTCAATTTGGTCCATTGCTTCATTAAAATTAAATGCAAATACAAGAAAATATAAGAGAAGTAAAAGAAAATATACTCCATAAAAGAAACATATATCTACAATATATACAAGACTTCCATCTTGGAGCATAATAATGTGTGAAACATAAAAGAAACAAAAAAATTTACTCTAATATACTCCAAATATATTTCTACCATATATACAAAACTTCCCTAAAGTTATTATTTACAAATGCATAATATAAAAGCAACATATATCCATCATAAGAATTTATTTGATTCATTTTTTCATACACTAAATACCACATTTCTAACAATTAAATAAATTTATATGATAATAAAAACAAAGTCTAATCATTTTAGCCAAAAAAATTATAATGATTTTAAAAAATTAAAAAATTAATAACATACCTTTCAATTGAGAGTAGAATGGAGATGTGTTGTGTTGTGAATTATGACAAAATTTAGATGATTTGAATAAGGAAGAAATTTAAAAGGTATAAATTAAAGATAATGTGTTAGAAAGGGGAGGAGAGTGTTTGAATTTGAAAAGAGGTTAGAATGTGTGAAAAGGGGAAAGGGGTAGGATAATTTAATGGTTGAACTTGAAAAGAGGTTGAATGGTTTAAATAAAATAGGGAAGAAAGGATGGAATAATGGGAGAAGGGATTGGGAACACGTAATTTCTTTTTTTTTCTCAAAGGAAGTCGCCGACTTCCTTTGTCACTGATTGGAAATGCTTTAGCTTTTTTGGAATTCAATCACCAAAATCTTCCCTTTCAGTGAAAGTTACCCTTATTCTCACAGGTACAATTAAGAGAAAATTTTTGTACCCATGAAGTATTTATTGATGGCGATTAAATTTGACTATTGTATTAGTGTCAAAACCAAAATAGGCGTCAACTAGCCAAAAATGTAGAGAATCGTCCCTGGCCTTCTTTCATTCTGTTTTTTACCAGCGCCACTCCTTTCAGTTGACTTTTCTCCAAGTCCGAAAAGAGACGCGGCATCACATGCGATAACAGGGAGGCAGGACGCTTGCATGGAAGGATAGCTTACAAAGCGCAAGGGTTCTTTCTGTTGGTGATTTTAGTATCATCGATTTATTTTATGTAATTGGATTTATTTCGATCGGACAAGAATTTGAATAGACGTTGTTAAACGAGTTAGGAGGCGCGGAGTACGCACTTGTTCAACGATATTATAAAGTCACTGCGGGGTCCCGGGGTGGCAGCCCCCGGGTAGCGGGGTCCAAGGGGCTTTCGTTCAAAACGGTAAAGGACTCGTACACAATGGATAAACGTCGAAATTGAGCCTTAAATCGCAGGAGACCTTTCGTTCAAACTCGCACCTTCTTCTTCCTCGCGTGAACGTACGCATACATCTACGCGAACGTTCATGTCCGATCACAAGGATTTTCGACTCTATAAAATAGAGTCTCGTGGTATGGATTGGGTGACCGATTCTTGAGTGCTCGTTCTTGATTAACGTCTCATCCGATTGAAGTATTTCGTATACCCCGAAATAACTTTGATCTGAAAACGTTTTGTACGCGATTCGTTATACTATCGAGTTCTTATTTAAACACTGCTTCGCAGTGTTCTTCCTTTTCTAAATCCAACACTCCCTAGCATGGGGTGTGAGAGTGATATTTAGAGAACAGTTTGAACTATAAGAATGAACTCCTTGCATATTTCTCGGGGGTGTCCTCCCTTTCAACGGGTCGCCGAGTCCTGATTTACCTCCCTCCAAATACTTCGTCGAGCCAGGTTGTGGGGGAGCCTTGCTTCTCAAAATGACTTTCATGGAAGTTTAATGAGACGTGATTCAAAAGTTTTATAAATGGAAAAATTATTTAAAATAATATCAACTTTACTCTGTCTTTTCAAAATAATATCCCCCTGTGATACATAATAATTTCAACTTTACGGAAATTTGCGAGTTTTGGGCCGCCGTTAAGCTGCTAACGGTAGGTTAACAGAACAACATGTTTTGCGCAACAAAATGAAAGTTAGGATTATTTTTTATGAATATTCGTTTATATTTTTTTGAAATTTTTATTTAAATTTTTTAAATAACTTTCTACTTCAATTTCTTTTTCCTTTTTTTAAAGATTAGTCTTATCTTATACTCCCTCCGTTCCACAAAACCCTTCGGTTTTGACTTTGGGGAAAAATAAAGAAAGTGTAATTTTGGTTGACTTTCCAATTTTGCCCTGATGTAATGGGAAAAAGTAAGATGGGATAGTTAGGTTATTAGTGAAAAAGTATGATGTGATAGGTAGGGTATGAAAAAGTAGAGGTAAAAGTGGCTTTTTAATAGAAAGTGGAAGTGTTTTGTGGAAAAACAAAAAAACGAAAGAGAAAGGGTTTTGTGGAACGGAGGGAGTAAAAAATAAAAAATAGATATAAAAAACTCAAAAATGTGAAAAATAACTAAAATCATACAAAATTCATGAAATAAATAAGGTAATCAATAAAAATTTAACTAAAATTGAAAAGAAACAAAACAAAATAAAAATATAACGAGTTAAATGTTCTAACATTTTACGCACTATACAGATCGAGTATTTATGTACAACTTAGCCTATTTTCTTAAAGAACGCGTAAAGTTAGAATTATTCTAGATAATATTTCCTAAAAGTAAGAAAAAGGGATATATCAATGCTCTGTATAGTGTGTAAAATATTAAAACTCACCACTAGATAATATTTCCTAACGATTACTTTATTCTTTTCATTAATTTTGTATAATTTTAGTTATTTTTCTCATTTTTCGTTATTTTTTATATCTATTTTTTATTATCATCCAAAATTAGAATAATCTTTCAAAGAATAGAAATGATGGAGGTAGAAAGTGATTTTAAAAATTTAAATTAAAATTTCAAAAAATTTAAAAACAAAAATTCATAAAAAATAATCTTAACCTTCATTTTGTTGCGCAAAACAGGCCGTTACCATTAACTCACCATAAGTAACTAACGACGTTTCAAAATTCACAAATTTTAGTAAAGTTGAGATTATTATGGATCACAATGAAAGATAAAAATATTTTTGAAAGACCGAGTAATGTTGGGGTTATTTGGGATAATTTTTCCTTTATAAATTTATTTTATCAAAAATTGGTATATAAACTAAAAAAATAAAAATTACATATTTAAAAAGTATGTCAAAAGTTCTAAAAAGTAAATAATGATAAGAATATTTTGTTTATTAAATAATCAACAAAATACGGTGAAGTGTAAATTATTTAAATTTTTATTAGTCCTATTGTCCTAATTAGATGTTTCAGTTTCTATTATTGATTTTTTTAACATGTGACTCGTATTATTTCTGCACCAACCACAAATGTTACTCCTCCGTCCCATAGAATCTTTTTTTTCTTTTTCCCACAAAGTCCACTTTTTTCTATTAAAAAACTATTTTTATCCAAACTAATTATTATCATCTTATCACATCATACTTCTTTTTACTAATAATCTATCAATCATATCTTACTTTTGCCCATCACATTAAGAATAATTTTGAAAAAATCAATACAAATATACTCTTTTTTTAAATTTCTTACTCCCTCCGTCCCACAAAACTCTTCCCCTTTCCTTTTTCATCCGTCCCAAAAAACACTTCTTTTTTCCTATTAAAAAGTTACTTTTAGCCTTATTAATTCTTAACTTACCTATCACATCACATCCTACTTTATCCATCACATCAAAAAGCATTTTTGGAAAGTCAACAACAAAATACACTTCACTTAAATTCTTTAAAAGTCAAAATGAGAAGTTTTTTAAGGGACGGGGGGAGTATTTTTTTTAATAATCATGTCAAATTTATTGTGCTATTAAGGGTCAGAGATTATTGATTCATCTCATTGGACATGGCCCTAGTTAACTTTACATTTGTACTTTTGAATTAATACGGAGTACATTTTAGTTAGATTATTTTAATGTACGGAGTAGTAATGTAACCAGTCAAACTTGGCATTCGATTTCAAGCAATTCTCAATTTTAACGAGGCTCTCACACAGTTGCTGAATAAAGTACACACTTAATTGCATTAATAGTTGACTAAATTTTAAAATGATAAACTATGTATTTTCTAAAATTAGTTTCTAAAATTAACTAAATTTTAAGATGATACTCGTTAATTGAGAATAATGTTCAGTTCAGCCCTCCCGACTAATGACTGTCCATATACTATTTCAAAATGGTACTCTCTAACTACATGTTTTTTCAAAGTAATCCATTTTCGAAATAAAAATATACAGTATTAATTATTGAAACATAGAGAAAGAGCTCCTATTTAGCTACTTTCTTTTTGTTTCTCATATTTACGGTGATTTCTTTAACGTTCATTTAATATTTTGTTTACATGGTATCCTTCTAAATAATCTAAAACATTTACTTTCAAATGTATAAAATTATACTTATAATTCTTAGTATTTTGTAGTCATCCTATAAAATTTAAGATATTTTTCCGTAATTAATACATTTTTATTTCAAAAATGGACTAATTTGAGAAAACACACAGTTATAAAGTACTATTTTGGGAAAATAATATAAGGTTTAATGTCGTTTTAACGCTGTTTTAATGGCCGTTAATCGAGGGACTAAACAAAGTACTATTCTCAATTAAAGAGTACCATCTCAAGAATTAGTTAATTATGAGGGCTTCTTTGAGTATCATTTTGTGAATTTACTCTTAATAGTTTGAAAAAAAAAAGTTTGAATGTGTTTTCTTTATGACGTGAGCATTAAGAAAAGTGAGAATATTCCTAAAATATTGGCATATTTTTTTACTTGAATTAGTTGAATGTCTCAAAATAAATGTCATATTGGTATTTTCATAATTTTCTACTCTTATCTAGGGAGTTCTTCTATAATTTACTCTCTCCGTCTGGATTTAATCTTAACATTTGACTCTTCTTGGTCAACGCATGTCAAATTTTGATCTTGATATGCAAAAAAATGTATTTTATATATACACACACACACACATACTTTATTTAAAAAAAGGGGAAGTGGTGTAATAGTTTTCCCGCCCAAATGTTATGCCATTACATAACTCAAATACTTACGCATATTAAATACATTTAATAAATTATGCTTATTAAATTTATAGAAAATCTATATTTCTGGACTTTCAGATATAATCGAGAAGGTTGTTAGCCGAACTCCGCCCGAAACCCGTATTGAAAATTATGCTCCAGAGCAAATGATGGAAATTACATTGGAAGACCACATGTATGTGACTTTTATTTTCACCGAATACATTTAATAAAAAAAATTCCCGATTTATATTAATTAGTAACTAATTAATATTTGAATAATTATTTTAGTAAAAAATTCCAAATTTAGGAAAGATCTTAATTGAATTTAGAATTATGGAAAATAAATAATTTCATATTTTAAATTACTAAATGCATTTCGAAAAGGCAAGTGCCACCA